GCTCTGCCCTGAGCTGCAGCCTCAGCCCCCAGGATCCTGCTTGCCACCACCTCAGGTGCAGGAGGAGGGAGCCCTCGGAGAATTGGATGTTACTATTGATTCATTTAAAAAAAGAAAAATACAAAACCAACCAAACAAACTCACTCTATTGATTTGGGACTTTTTCTTAAACAAACAAACAAACAAAGAAAAATACACTAGGACTCTGTGTTCTTCATGACAGGTGGGCCTGGGGGAAGGGCAGCATGGACCCCCCCCCCCCCCCACACACAGCCGCATAATTTCTGTATAATCCACCATCTGGGGCAGAGGGTGGGCACATGGAGGCCCTTGGCCCCGGTATTCATTCTTTTTTTTTTTTTTTTTAAGATTTTATTTATTTATCTCGACAGAGAGACAGAGAGAGAGGGAACACAAGCAGGAGGAGTGGGAGAGGGAGAAGCAGGCTTCCCATTGAGCAGAGAGCCCAATGTGGGGCTCAATCCTGGGACCCTGGGATCATGACCTGAGCCGAAGGCAGACGCTTAACTGACTGAGCCACCCAGGTGCTCCCCCCCGCCCCCCGCCTTTTCCTTTAAATGCAACTTCAAAGAGGTTTATTCTGCCTTTGTCCTGTCTCCATTTAAAATTTGCATTTACCCCTGGCTCATCTGGTTGCTCAGTTGGTAGAGCTGGGGACTCTTGATCTTGGGGGTTGTGAGTTTGAGCTGACATTGGGTGTAGTGATTACTTAAAAATAAAATCTCGGGGCGCCTGGGTGGCTCAGTTGGTTAAGCGACTGCCTTCGGCTCAGGTCATGATCCCGGAGTCCCTGGATGGAGTCCCGCATCGGGCTCCCTGCTCGGCAGGGAGTCTGCTTCTCCCTCTGACCCTCCCCCCTCTCATGTGCTCTCTCTCTCATTCTCTCTCTCTGAAATAAATAAATTTAAAAAAAAATCTTAAAATAAAAAAAAAAATCTTAATGGACACCTGGGTAGCTCAGCTGGTTAAGTATCCAACTCCTGATTTTGGCTCAGGTCATGATCTCAGGGTTGTGAGATCAAGCCCTGCGATGGGCTCCATGCTGGGCATGGAGCCTGCTCTCTCCCTCTGCCCCCCCCCAAATAAATAAATAAAATAAAATCTTTTTTAAAAAACTGCATTCACCCCAACATTTTCAGTTTTAGGCCCTACTTTAATCACCTCCATTAGTATTCACCAAAACTTGCAATGATATTATTTATCTAGTAGTTACTTGTTTTTGTGTGATTCAGTCTCAGCCACTAGGATGTAAGCTCCACGAGGGCATGACTAAATCATTTCCATCTCATTCACTACTGTATCCTTGGCATTTAGCATAGGGCCTGTCACATAGCAGGCACTCAATAAATATTTGTTGAATGAATGAATGGCTCTTTCTTAAGAGCACCTCAGAGTCTGGGAGAAAGATGTAAACAAATAATTGCAGTATAGCATTGGAGATGATATGATATGCACGGATTGCTATGGGCATGTTAGATTAGGAATATTACAGTACTTTGGTGAAGAGCAGTCATGCTTAAGTGGGATGGCCAAGATTGAACTCCAGGTTCTAACGTTTACCCACTGGGTGACATTGGTAACTTTCTTAACCTTTCTAAATCTTATTATACTCAGGAAAACAGATGTTCTAGTATGGATGTCATGCATTTTTTGACAATTAAACAGGATACTGCTTGTAAAGGGCCTGTCACATACTGATGCACAGCAAATGTTAGCTATTATTATTAAAGAAAGATTGTGGCTCCTTAAGAGCACTAGTTGACTTACACGTGTTAACATACAGAGAATGAAAAAAAAATGTTGGTCCCCTAAAAGGAGTCATTCTAGAAGGTCAGAATTAACCTCTCTAAAACAAACACTCCTATCTTTCATTTATCTTTCAAGATTTCCATATCTTTTCTCTTTGGAAGAAAGAATCAATTCTTCAGAAGAGCTCTGGTTGAGGGGCGCCTGGGTGGCTCAGTTGGTTAAACATCTGCCTCAGGGTTCTGGGATCGAGCCCCACGTCGGGCTTCCTTGCTCTGAGGGGAGACTGCTTCTCCCTCTCCCTCTGCCCCTCCCCCTGCTGTGTGCTCTCTCTCTCTCTCTCTCATATAAATAAAAATCTTAAAAAAAAAAAAAAAAAAAAGCCCTGGTTGAAGAGTACCAGGTGATGCGGTAGACTGAGGGTAAGTGGCCTGTTTTCTTTACCACCAGAGGGCACCAATCAGTCAAGTCATTTTACCTGTCATTTTACCTTTCCCACGCTATGGGAAAGCTGTAGGAAGCTGTTTCTGCCATTCATTCTTCTGACAAATATATATATGGTTTTTTTTTAAAGATTTTTTTAAATTTTTATTTATTTGAGACAGAGAGAATGAGAGAGAGAGAGAGAGCACATGAGAGGGGGGAGGGTCAGAGGCAGAAGCAGGCTCCCTGCCGAGCAGGGAGCCCGATGCGGGACTCGATCCAGGGACTCCAGGATCATGACCTGAGCCGAAGGCAGTCGCTTAACCAACTGAGCCACCCAGGCGCCCCATCTGACAAATATATTTTGAGTACCTACAACGTGCCAAACATCATGGTAGCTTGTATATAAAAAAGAAGCTTGTATAAACAAGACCTGTCATCCTTATGAATTTATAATCTTGAGCACCTACTGTGTGTCTGAGAGGTTCTATTAGACATGGGGGTGGAGGGTGGGGTTCAATTTGTTGTTGTTGTTACTGATTGTTTTCCTGCTCTTGGCTGTAAGCCTATGAGAATAATTACTTAGTGTCTACTTTGTGTCAGTGTGCTGGTTGCCCTGGATCCAGGCATGAATAAGACACAGTTGCAACCTACTGATAAACAATGTCTTACCTGCTAGGATAAAAAGGCATGAGACAAATTCTAGACTTCCTCTGACCTGAGAATGGAGAACCTTAGTACACACCTCGTTATCACACTAGGCTATGAGCCCTCTAGACAGATATATGTTTATTAGCCATCTACCTTAGGGCCATGGTCATTGCAGATATTTACTATGAATTTATGAGTTTATTTAAACTCAGCTAGCAGCTTCTGGTCTGGTTGTCAGGTGTATGTTACAGTGGGTTAGGCTAGGGATCTACCATCTTCTGGGGAAGGGTGGGACTGTGATGAGTTACTGAGGGTGAAATGCTTTGAAGATGAACTTTCTGCCTATTTGTCTACTCACATCCTTGTTATTAAGGTGTCAACATCGTCTCCCACGTTTCCAGGTCAGCAATCTTCTTGTCCCTAAATTGAATGGTAGAGGAAGGGAAGTCAGAATGGTTGAGGGGGTGGTAGCCAGAATACAGCTATGCCTTAAATTTTTTTTTCTTTAAAGTTTCTATTTATGGATCATTTACCATGTGCTAGTCATTGTGTCAAATGCTGTATATAGATGATCTCATTTAATATTTACAATAGTTTAAATTAGGTGTAATTAACCCTTTATTACAGAAGCTGATGAATAAGGAATGGATAATGTAAATGGTGGAGCCAGGGTTGGAACTTAGGATCTTTTTGATCTCAAAATTCTAAATGTGTGGAACTCTCATAGTATCCTGACTTTTCTAGGAAACGTTTCAGCAGTTACCACAGGACATGCCTTTCCAAGAGAACAGGTTATTCTAAATCATGAAGATTTAAGACTGTCTCCTCATCTCACTTCAGTTATGATTATCTTTTTTCTTTTTTAAGATTTTATTTATTTATTTGACAGAGAGAGACACAGCGAGAGAGGGAACACAAGCAGGGGGAGTGGGAGAGGGAGAAGCAGGCTTCCCGCGGAGCAGGGAGCCCGATGTGGGACTCGATCCCAGGACCCTGGGATCAGGACCTGAGCTGAAGGCAGACGCTTAATGACTGAGCCACCCAGGCGCCCCAGTTATGATTATTTTAAAAGTCCCTCAGTTCCAGGTCGGACCTTCAAGCTGAAAAGGATCTATAGGGAGTCAAAGTTCAACCATAGTATTTTTTTTTTCTTTAAAGATTTTATTAAGTAATTTCTACACACAGGGTAGGGCTTGAACTCACAACTCCGAGATCAAGGGTCGCGTGCTCATGCACTGAGCCAGCCAGGTGCCCCGATAGTACTTCATTTTACAAGTAACTGAGGGATAGCCAGAGCACTTGCCCCAAATCACAGGGAAGGGCCAGGAACCCAGGTTTATTTAGTCTGCGTTTCTACTTCCCTCTTTATTTCCCACAACTTCCTCTTTGTAGTTAAGAAGAGAAGCAGAAGCTGGTCTATCTGCCTTCCCCATTTCTTGGGTGGGAATCTTCTCCCCCACCCCACCCCTGTGGGTGACACACTGCCAAGGACACACGGGCTTGAGGGCCCTGCACAAAATATGTCGGGACACTTGTTCCCACGATAAGACTCATAAACTCAGCATATTCTTGTCAAGCACCTACTGAGTGCAGGGACGGCGGACTTTGTGTCACGGGGAGGGGCCTGTAGAGGACCAGGGCTCGACGGAGGATGGCTGTGGAAGCTTGTGGACACCCACACATCGGGAGAGGAAGGGAAGGCGCTGACAGCTCTAGGACCAGTAGTCCCTTCCCGGGAGCTCCCAAGGAACCGCGGCGTTCAGCCGCACAACCGTCATTTTGGGGCCAAGGGCATCCCTTGTGGCTGCCCTCGGACCCCACAGCAGCTTGGCCCTTTAAGGGCGGGGGACACGCGTCGGCGTCACAAAGCGCCGCCACCGCGCCGGGTGGCGGAAAGGAGGCGGGGAAGTGAGAGGAGGAGGGCGGGGGAGGGAGGGGCGTGCGCACGCGCGTCTGGCCGCCCGCCTCCGAGAGCCGCCCTCCCTCCCGGCGCGCGCCCCTCCTCCCTCTCTCCCTCCCTTCTTCTTCTTGGCTCCGTCGCTCCCGCGGCGCGAGGCGCTCTCGCTCTTCTCCTCCTCCTCCGTCGTCGCCCCTCCCCCCGCGCAGCCGCCGCCGCCGCCGCCGCCGCCGCCGCCGCGAGACCCCCGCGCGCCGCGCGCCCCCCGCCCTCCCGCCCCGCGCGCCCTTCGGCCCCGGCAGCCCCTGAGGAGAACGAGAGGGCGAGCGAGCGCGGCGCTCCCGGGCCGGCTCGGCCCCCTCCCCTCATCATCGCCGGCCCTTCGCCGCCCTCCTCCGCTTCCACCCCCTCTCCCCCCCCCCGTCAAGTTGAGGCCCCCTCCGGGGGGGGGAGGCCCGGGACCGGGAGCGAATTCCCCTAACTCCCTCAGCCCCTCCCCCCACCTGGCCCGAGTGTGAGGAAAAGGGCCCGGCCCGCGTCGTGTGTGGAGGAGGACCCGGGCTGGCCCACGGGCCGTCTGGGGCCTGGTCCGGCCCGCCGGGTGTGTGAAGACAGAGGCCCGGTGCGGCCCGGCGGAGGGCGAGCGGAGGGGAGGGGCCTCGTCCGGCCCGGCCGGTGCGAGAGGACTGGGGCTCCGGCCCGGCGCCGCCGCCGCCGCCGCGATGGCCCAGCAGCAGATGACCAGCTCGCAGAAAGCCCTGATGCTCGAGCTGAAATCCCTGCAGGAGGAGCCGGTGGAGGGCTTCCGGATCACCCTGGTGGATGAGTCCGACCTCTACAACTGGGAGGTTGCCATCTTCGGACCCCCCAACACCCTCTACGAAGGCGGCTACTTCAAGGTACCCCTACCCCCTCCCAGGCCAGGCTTCCCCAGGCGGAGGCCTCCGCTCCCCGCCGCTTGCGGGGCCAGGAGTGTGAGCGCGAGTGTGTAGAGGGGGCTCCTCACTCGGCAGCCCCCTCCCCCCATCCGTGGAAGCAGGAAGGCCTTGCTCACCAAGTGCCTTTTCTTTGTCATGGGGGCGGGGGCTGGAGGCCAGACTGCACCGGGAAATAGGAAAGCCTCTCTGGCTAGGGTAGTGGCTACCGGCGGAGGAGGGCTGTCTTTGTTTTGTTTCCCCCAGCTGAGGGTGTGTGGGAAGAAAGGTGGTCTTTCCTTTCTCGTCTTCCCATCAGAACCATCCCCGCGCCGGCTGGAACTGCCCCAGAGGGCAGAGTGACCTGCACTTAGTGGATTGGATATTTCTTTTTTGGGGGGTGAGGGTGGGGGAAGGGTATTAGCCTGTCATTCCAGAGGCTGCCTAGTGACCTGACACTTTTGAGGATTTGATGGGCTTCTTTGCGTGGTGGTGGTTCCAACTTCGCATTCCGGTGGGCGGTAGTGAATAGGACCCTAGGAGTGGTAAACAAGGGTGCCTGCGTTTCCTTGCCTTTCTCCACTTGAGGGAACGCTAATTTAGCCCCCTTTCTGTTCTCACTCTGTTTACTTCAGTGGTATTTCAAAATGCCCTTTGTCCTCACCCTGCCACCAACTTTACTGGCTTTCCCCCCCCCTACATGTAGAAATATCTGCAGACAGTGGAACATGTTATGTAGGGAGATTGATAGTTTCCCACTTCAGGGAGACGGGAGTGAAACGTTTTACTCAGGTTAGCTCTAGCAAATGGGGTGGTCTTACAGATGAAAAGTATCATCTGAGGTGAGAGGGTTTTGAACAGTGATATCATTCTTGAATCCAGTGGTTTTCTTTTTTTTACTCCCATTTCTTTTTTTAAATTTTAAGATAATTTGGCGATATTGAGAGTTTGTTTTTGTTTTTATTTTACCATTTTTGTAGGGACGAATCATAGATTGAAGGTGCAGTGTTTTAAATGGTGGAGGCGGAGACAGGAAATTAGTGCAAGGGAATCCATTTAATTTTATTTCCAAAAGTAAGTAAAATAGAGCAGTGAGTCAATCTTAGTTTGTTTTGAAGGGAGGGGCTATCTTGGCATAAGTTTTAAATGAGTATCTTAGTCATGTAGTTATGATGTACACTTTTAGAACTACCCAGTTTTGTTTTTCTATCTTTCTAAAGGTAGAACCTTCAGTGTCAGCTTTGAAATTGGGTCAACTTTGTAGAAAATGTGAAGAATTGACAGGGGGATGTTTAATATTTATGCCTGTGGTAGTCAGTGAATGCCTAGTAAAAGCACATTTTTAGGATATTGTGTAAGAGCAGTTCTCTTACCAACTATATGCTTAATCTCTTGTGGTCACCATACACTATACCTTTTAGATGCAGATATTAACGTACAAGTTATTAGTGACAAATTGGAGAAAGTATTCCTGTGTCTACTGGCTAACTTTAGTGACTTAAAGTTTAATTTCCATAAAATGTCATTGTTTGGGACAATTGAGAGTCAACGTGAATGGGTACTAATTAGAATAATCTCCACTTCAGTGTTTTAAAAAAAGCTATGTGAAAGGAAATAATGGGTTGCAAATTGTAGTATTTTTGCTTAAGTAGCAGGAAAAGGACTGGAGAATCCTCTCAGTTTGAAATAGGTAGTATGGGAAGAGGATTCTCTACAGTGGCAAACATTGATTTCAGTTAAATGCTTTGTAATTTCAGTCCTACTAAGAAAGAATGGTTGAATTTCATTGTATATGTTAGATTTCTTAATCTTTTTACCTTTATTTTATCTTTTAAAGATTTTATTTATTTGAGAGAGAGCGTGAGCACGAGCATGAGCGGTGGGGAGGGGAAGAGAGAGGGAGAAGCAGACTCCCCGCTGAGCAGGAGACCAGCGCAGGGCTCAATCCCAGGACCCTGAGATCATGACCAAAGGCAGATGCGTAACCAACTAAGCCGCCCAGGCACCCCAATATTTCTGCCTTTAATTATGACATTTAAAAATGTATGAAAATTCTTAGGTTTTATGTTTTAGTATTGTGTGAGAATTCTGTCAATTTTGTTTTATTCCTTATATGGCCTTTTATCCCAAAAGTCTTTTGTTGGAAAAAGGCAAATTTGTGGTCATGAGCAGTTAACACTGGTGATAAGTCTAAAGCCATTGTTTTTTATTTCACTGCTTTTGTCATAAAACAAGGCTTTTAGTGTGTTCCACTACAGCTGCAGTTAAAAGTTGGCACAGACCTTTTTCTACCACTATTCTCCCATATCAAATGGTAGTTCTTGAACATTTAGTATAATTTATTTTCAAGTTAAATTCTTTTCTCTATTTTACATAATAGTTTCTGAAGGCAGTGGGACCGCCAGTCATTCTTTACATTTTTCATAATGTTACTCCTTTACTTTTACATATTAATAGGCTTCTTATTGATCTTTTTCACCATGAAATAGTTGGCTCTAGTCTAACTATGGCATCTGTTGTGGTAGAGACTGGTGAGACTTGTATTTCACAAATTTTTTTCGATTCATCTTTTTTTTAAATATCTCAAAAAAAAAATATCTCGAGTTGTGTGTTTCTTAGCTCTCGGGTTTCGGGGTGGCATGTATGATGGGTAAAGGTAGTTTCTTGTGCCTGTTTTTCTGGATGTTATACAATCTTTTTGTCCAGTTTTTTGATCTCTTAGACTTAGGGAGTGAACGTCTTTGCTGCTTCTACTTTTTCCTCTAGGGGTCAATCATTACAAAACACAAAGTAGGAGACGGCTTGGAACAGGGAATGCCTCTGAACTTAATTTTGCTACTGTGGGGCAAGTTGGAATTTTATGATGTTATTGGATGAATAAATTGTCGATCAAGTGAGCAGTTAATGATGACTTAATAAGTCCACCCCATTCATTTAAAAAGCACTGTCTTTTGGGCGCCTGGGTGGCTCAGTTGGTTAAGCGACTGCCTTCGGCTCAGGTCATGATCCTGGAGTCCCTGGATCGAGTCCCGCATTGGGCTCCCTGCTCGGCAGGGAGCCTGCTTCTGCCTCTGACCCTCCCCCCTCTCATGTGCTCTCTCTCTCTCATTCTCTCTGTCTCAAATAAATAAATAAAATCTTTAAAAAAAAAAAAAAAAAGCACTGTCTTTTCAAACAACTCCTGCTAGTGATCATAACTTAGTATGGTGCTTTGGTATAGAACTCCTTGGAGCACCTGCATTATTTATCTGAAACCATGGTGACAAGTGAGTCTAGAGATCAGAAAGTGAGTGTGTCCAGGGGTGCCTGGCTGTCACAGTAGTTGGTAGAGCATGTGACGCTTGATCTTAGGGTTGTGAGTTCGAGGCCCATGTTGGGTGGAGAGATTACTTAAAAAAAAAAAAAGTGTCTGTTGCATGATGTTCATAACAGTTCAAATGATACAGAAAACTTAAAATATTGCAGTTAACTTTTCATAGTTTTGATTTTATTCAGTAATCTGGTGAGAGTGAAATAAGGTTTTTCCATTTTTAGAAAACTTCAAACTGATAATTTAGAAAAGTATTTGTTATATACTAAAAGTTTTCCTTAATTGAAGCTTCTTTATCAGACTTAACAGTTTGATTTATATTAAAGAAACTCTTGAAAAAAAAGAAACTCGAATCGTTTTTAAAAATAATGGATGTATTATTTTCATTTGTTCTAGAATAAATGAATCTATTTTCTGCCCCCCTGCCCCCCCCCCCCCCCAAAAAAACCAACCATAACCCTACCAAACTTAACCTTTGGGCCTGGCAATAGCATACTCCATTTTGTGACTCTGATTCTTAAGATATAGTTGAAACAATTATTTTAAGAAAGTGATTCTTAGTCTTTTTGTTATATGGATCCTTTTTTTTTTTTTTTTTAAAGATTTTATTTATTTGACAGAGAGAGAGATAGCAAGAGCAGGAACACAAGCAGGGGAAGCGGGAGAGGGAGAAGCAGGCTTCCTGCCGAGCAGGGAGCCCGATGTGGGACTCGATCCCAGGACCCTGGGATCATGACCTGAGCTGAAGGCAGATGCTTAACGACTGAGCCACCCAGGTACCCTATATGGATCCTTCTGAGAAACAATTTTCTCTGGGAAAACATACAAACTAGTTTGTATACATTTTCAGAGGGTTAACCAACGGTTAAGAATTCCTGTTTTAAAGGATTTGGATAGGCAACTTAACTTTAAAATTATGAAAGTAGTGCTTTTTTTTTTTTTAACAATTGTATAATGATTCTTTCTGTCAATTAAAGCTATCTTATTTCTTAATTTTTCCTCAGTCACTTTGAGAATACCTCTTAGAGCTTTTAGCTGTAATCTTTTCTGGAAGCTGAACTTGTCTTGAGTGCTGAGTGAACTAAGGCAACACTGTAAATGGAAACATAGTTAATGTCCAGTGGTTTGGGGCACTACTGTAAATGCAGTTTTAGTGTTCCCCACTGTGCCCCCCCATGGCAAAATTATAGCACCTCAGTGTTTATAGAATATTCTTTTTTTTTTTTTAAGACTTTATTTATTTGACAGAGAAAGACAGTGAGAGAGGGAACACAAGCAGGGGGAGTGGGAGAGGGAGAAGCTTCCCGCGAAGGAGGGAGCCTGTTGGGGACTCGACCCCAGGACCCTGAGATCATGACCTGAGCTCAAGGCAGACGCTTAATGACTGAGCCACCCAGGCGCCCCTATGGAATATTCTTTTACCCTATTAAGTTGATTCCAGATGCTTTTTTTTTTTAAGTTTTTAGCTTGTTGGAAATTGGGATGTGTTTTAAAATTTCCATCAACCAGGTGACACTTGAGACCTAGTTGTGAGAGAACCTTCCATTGAAATCTTCTAATGAAATTTTTTTGAATGCCAGCATCGGTGTCTTAAATTTGATAAAATATTGTTTCTTTTTGAATGAAAGATTTGAGCCCTAGTTAGTACTTTGTTTGCAGCATGTTGATTCCTGTT